AGGGGGCTAAGCCTGGAGGATGACTTGAGTTTGGGGTAACAGTGAACAATGATTATGGCCCTGCACTCCAGCAAGACCCTGTCTCTAAAAAAATAAAAAACAAGCTAGTTCTTTTAGTTCAGTTGTGCCCTTTGGCTCAATGTGATGATCTGGCTCTGGCTACCTAATTGGTGTTTTTTATTTTGTTTTGAACTCAGGTGGGTCTACTGTACTCCAGTAAGGCCAATGCTGGCAAACACATGAAGCATCATTAATTCTCTGATAATGAAAACTATTGGCAATTTTTTTTTATGGTGGTTTTATCCCTTGAAATAATTGGCTGTGGAATTGCCAGAGTTGTGTTTTCATTATAATGTCATTTTTCTAATGCAACAACCATAAACAAATGATAATTAACAATTTTTGGTACCAAGGAATTACTAAAGGCAAGAGCTAGAATCAATAGCTGCATGTTAAATACCTGTATATTAATTAAAGGGCTTCCTTTAAATGATGGGCACACTATATCTTAGAGATGTGAAGAGTGATGCTGCAGGAACAGCTATTCTGAGCAACTAAATTATGCAAAAGCTTTAGAATAAGTTGAGCAAATATGAAAATGGTAAAAAGTCCTGGCAAGAAAAGGAGAAAATGTAGAACATTTAGTTACCAGTTTTTTTTCCTTAGTAAGTGACCAGACATCCCAAACCATCTTTCATGGTTAAAGAAAGAATATGGAGGCCAGGCATGGTGGCTCACGCCTGTAATCCTAGCACTGTGGAAGGCCGAGGTGGGCGGATTGCTCGAGGTCAGGAGTTCGAAACCAGCCTGAGCGAGACCCCGTCTCTACCTTCCACAGTGCTACTCTTTCTATTTTTAGTAGAGATGGGGTCTTGCTCTTGCTCAGGCTGGTTTCGAATTCAAGTGCAATTCTACTCTACTAAAAATAGAAAGAAATTAATCGACCAACTAAAAGTATATATACAAAAAATTAGCCAGGCACGGTAGCACATGCCTGTAGTCCCAGCTACTTGGAGGCTGAGGCAGTAGGATCGCTTGAGCCCAGGAGATTGAGGTTGCTGTGAGCTAGGCTGACGCCACAGCATTCACTCTAGCCTGGTCAACAAAGTGAGACTCTGTCTCAAAAAAAAAAAAAAAGAGGATATGGAAATTCTCAACACTGAAGAAGGACCAGGCTTAATAAGACCTAGTGTCTTTCCAAACAGGGTCCCAGCAATATTTAGCTGAATTTCATTAACGGTTTCTGAATCCAGTGAAGAGATGCTTATTATGGCATATTTCCATTCAGGAAAGCCTTGGGAGAAGCTTAGTACCCTGAGGCATTGGAATGAGCAAGGTAGCAGAAAGTCTGACAGGCAGAATGAGCCTTTCATCACTCTCTGAGAGGACTCTCTGCTTGCAGTTATGGCATCTATTAATAAAAACTATTGCCTCATAACCATAGTTACTTTTGAGTCTCTTGGCCACAGATACTGTACATAGTGGGACCACCGTTTCGCTCAGGAATAGGTGAAAAACTTTAGCTTAAATTTCTTTGTTACAAAGGTGTGTTATGGTAAATTGTTCCTAATTATTTAAAAAAATGCTTGTGTTATTATCCTTGTATCTGACCTACTTTTCACTTTTGAACTCTTCCTACCATCTCTATTGTTTTATCATGCACACATTTCTGTAATTTTTTAGTACGAAGAAATATACAGAAAAGTTGAAAGGATAGTACAGTGATCAGTGTATTTGCTATGTGTTTGTATTTTGGTGGAACCATCTGGAAATTGCAAATATGATATGCCACTCCTAGATGCTTTAGCATAGATGACCTGAAAGTAGGTAATTCTTCTATTCAGCTCTGATGCCATTCATTATATGATGTGCTTTTTTTTTTTTTTTTTTTTTTTTTTTGAGACAGAGTCTCACTTTGTTGTCCAGGCTAGAGTGAGTGCCGTGGCGTCAGCCTAGCTCACAGCAACCTCAAACTCCTGGGCTTGAGTGATCCTTCTGCCTCAGCCTCCCGAGTAGCTGGGACTACAGGCATGCGCCACCATGCCCGGCTAATTTTTTTTTTATATATATATCAGTTGGCCAATTAATTTCTTTCTATTTATAGTAGAGACGGGGTCTCGCTCTTGCTCAGGCTGGTTTTGAACTCCTGACCTTGAGCAATCCGCCCGCCTCGGCCTCCCAAGAGCTAGGATTACAGGCGTGAGCCACAGCGCCCGGCCTGATGTGCTTTTTCTTTGATATATTTTTAATAAGAAAGTTATGATTACATTTTAACATTTATTTATTTTTATATTTTAAAGACTTAAAAATTTTAATGGAAAATTGCAGATGTTGATCAAACTTTACTCTGAGAAAATAAACCAATAGCCTCAGTTAACCAGTAGGTTCTTCTGTTCAATGCTGAGCTGACATCACAGGACCTTTCAATAGATGTTATCAATATATAACAACATGACAAACAACAAACAAAAAGAAATAGAAATGCTATTTTGGCCGGGCGCGGTGGCTCACGCCTGTAATCCTAGCACTTTGGGAGGCCGAGGCGGGCGGATCGCTCAAGGTCAGGAGTTCGAAACCAGCCTGAGCGAGACCCCATCTCTACCAAAAATAGAAAGAAATTAATTGACCAACTAAAAATATATATACAAAAAATTAGCCGGGCATGGTGGCGCATGCCTGTAGTCCCAGCTACTCGGGAGGCTGAGGCAGTAGGATCGCTGAGCCCAGGAGATTGAGGTTGCTGTGAGCCAGGCTGATGCCACGGCACTCACTCTAGCCTGGGCAACAAAGTGAGACTCTGTCTCAAAAAAAAAAAAAAAAAAAAAAAAAAAAAAAATTTTTTTTTTTGGGGGGGCCCCAAAAAAAAGCAAAACCCGTCTCAAAAAAAAAAAAAACCACTATTTTTTTCATTTGGTTTTTTGGCATGAAAACATAAACTAATTGTTTTTTATTGAAGGGGTTATATGGTTGTCCATGCCCTGCCTTACAAATTTCATGTGATCACCAGTGAGTAAATCAAGAGACAAAGTTTACTTAAATGGATGCTAGTCATTCTCAAAGGGGGAAAAATTGCTGTCACAATATGCTAGCGCTTATTGCCACAAAAGGTCTGATCGTGTTGATGTAGAACTTTCTTTCCTTGCTACAGTGTCATGTGACATTCTAGTTTTCATAATAAAGATTGTAAGCTGCGAAAAGCTTGCTTGTTTGCCAAAGTCTTTTGATAAATATTTTACAAGCTTTGTCAGAGACAAAGAATTTGTCATCTGGTGGACACAGTGTCTGCATCTTAAGGTGATTCGGCAGCAGAAGAGAGGTAATGTCAAACTGTAGGCCTGGCAGCTCCTGTCTCAGTTGTGCTTTTGTTTTGCCTTTTAGGTATTCCAAAGGCTGCTAGAGTTCTTGGAGCAATATTGCCAAGGTTTGGGAATGTTTTCTTAGCAAAGTATTGCTACTCCACAATAGTATCTTCTCTCCAGTCTGGTGCTTTTGGATTAATATGCCAACCAAATTTGTTTAGTTACAAGTCTGTTTATTAACATGCGTAATGATTATCAAACCTATGTTCTCTGGAACTTGCCCTATAAAGGATTTTGTTCTTTGAGGAAATGATTCAGCCTTATACATTTTTGTATGTTTCACACCGTAGTCTCCATATTAACTACTTTGTGCTAACATAACTACATATTGAGCTAAATTGTATGTGTGTGTGCGCAAGTGTGATTGCTTTTACAAACAGAAACGAGAGTGAAACTTTTATTTACCTTGTTGTTATATTCCCATTCAAAAGGAGAAATGAGAATGAACAAATTTGAAGAGATTTAAAACATTTCATATTTCTACAGGTATTAAAATTTTAGATTTTTTTATTTTGCCACCACTAAACAAAACTGATATGGTAAGGAAAATTCTTCCCATCCAGAGGTTGAATACTAGGGTACCTATTATCATCTAAACTTATACATTAAAGGTTGTGGGCTCTTTTATAAGGACACTGAAAAGCTTTATGTGTCTCCAAACCATATACATTTGCAGTGGAAAAAATTCTTATTGCCTATTTAATGTTCTTTTTCTGTAAAGAGCCTACCAGAAACCTTTAATTCCTTCCTTTACTATTAAATATTACTCAGAAACCAGCACCCTGTATGTCTGTCTCTTGACTACTCTATATTCTACATACTAAAATGCCAGTGAACCTTGGGCAGCTGTGGTCAGCTGTTGGAGATATACAAGTCCTAATCTTGGCTGAATTTACTATACCCAAGCGGATATTGCTTGGTAAAAATTCATTAGAAGCAAACATGTCAGATTTTATAGACCAAAATACAAAAAGCATGTGAGTGGCCGGGTGAGGTGGCTCACACCTGTGATCCTAGCACTCTGAGAGGCCAAGGCAGGAGGACTGCTTGACCTCAGGACTTTGAGACTAGCCTGTGCGAGACCACCTCTACTAAAAATAGAAAAATTAGCTGGACGTCATTACACGTGCCTCTATAGTCTCAGCTATTTGGGAGACTGAGGCAGGAAGATCACTTGAGCCCAGGAGTTTGAGATTGCAGTGACTATGATGACACCACTGCACTCTAGCCAGGGAGACAGAGCGAGACTCTGTCTCAAAACAAAAAAAAAAGTATGTGAGTGCATATGTAGAAATAATTAATTTCTGCAAAGACTTTTCCTTTAGCACAACTTACCAAGAAATGTGTTTTGTAGCTTGCTACTGCCATCTACTGGTTATCAACTCTTAGACTGATAGCGATTGGTCAACTGTAATAAATAGAAATAAAGGGGAATTGAGTCTGCTTATTTTATTGGAAATCTCTAAAATATTCTCTGTTGAGTAAGACATCAGAAGTTTTATGTGGTCCATCCGGTATTATTTTGTAGTATGTAGTATGCTTTTAGTGAACAAACTGACCTGTCCTCCACTATTAATAATGTGCTATTTCTGTGTCTGAATTTCTAATCAAACCTTTTTTTCCTTTGTCATTTCTTCTTAGTTTAATGGATCGGGAAGTAGCGTTGCTTGCTGAAATGGACAAAGTAAAAGCTGAAGCAAGTAAGATGACTGAACTTTAATTAAAGCTATTACCTATGTAAACAATAGGTACCTGCCTCCCAACTGTCACAACAAAAGCTTAATATAAATGCCACAATGAGATTTTATAGGCCAGGCATGGTGGCTCACTCCTATAATCCTAGCACTCTGGGAGGCCGAGACAGGAGGATAGCTGCAACTCAGGAGTTCAAGACCAGCCTGAGGCCGGGCGCGGTGGCTCATGCCTGTAATCCTAGCTCTCTGGGAGGCTGAGGTGGGCGGATCGTTTGGCTCAGGAGTTCGACACCTGAGCCAAGGAGTGAGACCCCGTTCTCTATAATTAATAAAAATTTTTTAAAAAAAAAACAAAAAAAAAAAAAAAAAAAAAAAATTTAAAAAAAAAAAAAAAAAATTAAAAAAAAAAAAAAGAAAAAAAAAAAAAAAAAAAAAAAAAAAAAAAATATAGGAGAAATAATTGGCACTATGTATATAGAAAATTAAGCGCGAGGGTGTGCTACTTTAGCCACTACGGGAGGCTGGGCAGCAGGGTGCGCTGAGCCAGGAGTTTGGTTGCTTAGCTAGGCTGACGCCACGGCACTCACTCTAGCTGGGCAACAAAGTGAGACTCTGTCTCAAAAAAAAAAAAAAAGACCAGCCTGAGCAAGAGCGAGAATCCGTCTATTAAATAGAAGAAATTAGCTGGACAACTAATATGCAGTAACTGGGCATGTGGCACATGCCTTGTAGTCCCAGCTACTTGGGAGCTGGAGATAAGAGGATCACTTGAGCCCATGAGTTGAAGTTGCTGTGAAGGAGGTGACACACACAGCACTGTAGCCCAGGCAACAGAGTGAGACTCATCTCAAAATATAATTAATTTAATATTTAAAAAATGTTTTATTATTTAGTTAAACAGTCTTGAACAGTTGTACTGCACTGGCATTATTTTTTTATTTTTTATTTTTTGGCATGTGAATTTTTTTTAGCTAAAGTAACTTTTATATAGCCTGCTTTAAAATGTTCCAAATTTTAATATTTGAATGTAGAGTTCAATGTTATAGAGACTGCATCATGGTATCTGCCACCACGTTTTGTTTTATTTGTTTTTCTCTGGCGATTAACAGTTCACTGAGTTTTTTTTTTTTTTTTGAGAGTCGTCGTTTGTTGCCCAGGCTAAAGTGAGTGCCATAGTGTCAGCCTAGCAACAGCCACTCAAACTCTAGCTCAAGCAATCCTGCTGCCTCAGCCTCCCAGTAGCTGGGACTACAAGCATCCATGCCGGCTAATTTTTCTATATATATTAGTTGGCCAATTAATTTTTTCTATTAGAGATGGGTCTCACTCTTGCTCAGGCTGGTTTTGAACTCCTGACCTCGAGCAATCCACCTGCCTGGCTCCCAGAATGCTAGGATTACAGGCGTGAGTAGGATTTTTTCTCTATGGAGAAAACCTTTTAGCACAATCAGAGAAGATTTCATCAGGTTGCCTATAATTGAGTATATACATTTCTATCATTGCCTATCTCAGAACTTACTTTGTTTTCTCAATTTATAAAACAGTTTATCTCAGTGTCTATTATCAATGGATTAAAGAAAACTCAGAGAATTGAGGGTTCAGGATACCATAACTAGGATTCCTTGAAACTGATAAAATAGATTCTGGAGGATAGAGTCTAACTTAAGTAATTTGTGAGGTTTTGTATGAAGAACCATATAAACTGCTTTTTGGTCATTTCTGTTAATGTTAGGTTGAAGATATACAGCTGTATGAAAAGTAGGAATTGCCAACTGCAATGTATACAATAGCATTGATTTGGGGCATTTCATTGGCAGGTTCTACCTTCCTGCATTGAATGCCAGATTTATAATTAGGAAGGTTGTTTCTTTTAACTCACCCTCAAACTGCTAGGAATAGAAATGCTGGGCTAGGTTGAGATGATGACTCATAGTTAAATCATTTGTGTCTGTGGTCACAGGCCAGGGGAGGCAGCTTGGTCTGAACTGAGTACAATTTTGGTCCATTTTAACTTGAAATGTTGAGAATGGGAGAGATGCTCTCCACTATTTTTCAAAGTGAGATTTCATTTACATTGAGTATATCTTAGAATTTCTAAATTTGACAGTTTCAGCCCATTCTTACATCTGTGTATTCTCTTTTTGAAGATAAAGGTTTAATAACTAAATCAGTAAGAAGACATAGTCCTGGCTGGGCATGGTGGCTCACGGCTGTAATCCTAGCACTCTAGGAGGCTGAGGGGGCAGATCATTTGAGCTCAGGAGTTTGAAACCAGCCTGAGCAAAAGCAAGCCCATCTCTACTAAAAAATAGAAAGAAATTAGCTGGACAACTAAAAAAAAATATATATTATATATTATAATTAGCCGGGCATGGTGGTGCATGCCTGTAGTCCCAGCTACTTGAGAGGCTAAGGCAGGAGGATCTCCTGAGCCCAGGAGTTTGAGGTTGCTGTGAGCTAGGCTGATGCCATGGCACTCTAGCCTGGGCAACAGAATGAGACTCTGTCTCAAAAAAAAGAAGAGGTAGTCCTTACTTTTGAGAAGAAGGTACTTTTGAAAATACACCTTTCATAGAAAATTTCAAATGTATTTCAAATAGAGGAGCTAATATAATAAATCCCCATTACCCAGCTTCAACCAATTACCAATTCATGGCCAATCTTATTTTATCAGATTCCAAGGCCACAGAGTTTCACTTCTTCAGTTTTATATCTATGCTTCCTTTCTTCCTGAACATCCTGGTTCTTAGTGACACAATATGATTACTCACTACCAATACTATCAAGAAGGTGCTTTTTTTTTCTTTTTTACACATTAGTTTAATTAAATAATTTATATGTTCATAGTAGGTCACAGTTCAGAGTTTTTTCATACACATTCATGTATGATCTTCACATTAACCCTACAAGGTATGTTGGTTTTCTTTTTTTCTTTTCTTTTTTTTTTTTCATTTCATAAATGAAGAAACTCATTCTTTGGAATAAGTATGACTTGTCAAGTATTGTATAATTAGGTCCTGTGAGTTACCTGACATGTAGAAATCTTTATTCATCACAGTTTCTACATCTTGAGATCTCTATGACTCCTGTTAAAAGCTTTCCTGTGCATCCCATCCTGTAAGTGTTGTAACAAAGCCAGAAAATGTAGATATTTACCTGAGCTTGTTGGTACCCAACAACATTGGACTTCTGATAGCTAGGAAGAAAAGGAGTACGCGTATTCAATTAATTAACAGTCTTTGCTACAATCCTCCCCTGTAGCTAGCCAATATCCCTCTTTTTCCCCAAATCAGAACATACTCACCCTCTTCTCAATGGCAACACCTCCAAAGTCACATCTAGTTAGTATATTCAGCTGAAAGGCCAAGTCTTCTGAGTAATTTCAGATCTTCCATCAGGTCTAGATATGGTGTGTTGTGGTCTGGGGTCTCATAAACTAAAAGAAAAGTTAAATGCCCCACCTACCAATATTACATAGTTAGAGAAAGATGAGGATAAATATAGTCAGAATTCCCATTTGGAAAAGCAATGATCAAGTCTCACTGGATAGAAATAGCCCTCCCCTGGTGGTAGAGAAAGTTCCTTGAGTGGTTTATCTTACAGCCCTAGTTCTGCTTTCTGGGAGGATTTCTTTTACCCATTGCTCATTGTAGCCCTTGTCTCCCTTCTCTGGGAGATTCTTATTGTCTCTTATCCACCATATGTGAGCTGGACATCAGGGAGCATGCCAAAGCAGGTGCCTCTTAAAGACTGTAACAATATAAATAGCTATCACTCTCTTGGTAAATAATTGTGATATATCCACATAGTGAAATACTAGGTGGCTGTTAAACTGAATGAAAGTGATCCAGATATATTAATAGGGAATGAATTTCAAGATATATTAAGTTTAAAAAAGCTAATATAAAGGAAGGACCATGTGTATGATATACTTCCCTTTGTCAGGAGGGAAAAACAAGGAGAGATACTTATGTTCTATATAGATATAGATAATGTTTGGAAGTATACACAAGAAATCATTAACAGTGGTTTCCTTTGGATAGGAGATCACAAAATCAAAAGTACAAGGATGCTTTTACTTTTTGTTTTATACCCATTTATTCTAGATGAAATTTTTACCATGTGTGCATATTTCTGTTTTTTATGCTACTTAATAAAAAGTTTTTTTGACTGGGAAGAGGAAAATGAGAAATGACAAATGATTTATGAATCTTTATGATTCATAAAAAATGTTTACCCTTTAACTGCCTTCAGAGAGCCTCCAGAAGGTAGAAACTGGACCTTTGATATTTTCATTTTCTGGATGGGTGGGCAGCTAAGCCTTTGGCTGTCCAAATACAAACTGAAAGGCTCATACTTCTAGTTCTTGTTTATCCTGTTTAGCAGCAACATAAGATTCATACTTGCTTTTCCTCTACAGTGGAAATTTTGCTCAGCCGACAAAAGAAAGCCGAACTTCTAAAGAAGATGACTGATGTGGCTGTTCGAATGTCAGAGGAGCAATTGGTTGAGCTCAGAGCTGATATCAAGGTAAAATTTCCTTCTTCTTTTTGCCTTTCTTCTTTCCCTTGGGGGCTAAAGTAACAAATCTCTGTAATTCATGGCCATATCTAATATATTGAACTCATGATCTTCCCTTCCCAGGCCTGGCCCTCTTCCAGTACCTTTCTCTGTAAGTGGTACTGTCAACTGTCATCTATCCAGTTGTCCAAGCTGGAAACCTTAGGAAATTTCTCCATTTCCCACATTAAATCTATCAGCAGACCCTGTCCATTTGACCTCCTACTAAATTTCAAATCTGACCGTATCTCTTCATCTCTACGACCACCATCAGGATCATGATCAAGTTACTGCTGTCTCTTGCTTGGACTTGTGTAATAGCCTCTGAACTGATTCTGTGTATTATTTTGCCACTGCCCCTGCTTTCCACTATAGCAGTCTGCTCCAAACTTTCCATTCCTTTTTTTATTTTTTCATGTTTGGTTGGTTGGTTGGTTTTGGTTTTTTTTTATTTATTTATTTATTTATTTATTTATTTATTTATTTATGAATGAATGAATGACAGAGTCTCACTTTTGTTGCCTGGGCTACAGTGCTGTGGCATCAGCTTAGCTCACAGCAACCGGAAACTCCTGGGCTCAGGCAATCCTCCTGCCTCAGCCTCCCTAGTAGCTGGGACTACAGGCATGCACCACCATGCCCAGCTAATTTATATATATATATGTTTAGCTGGCCAATTAATTTCTTTCTATTTATAGTAGAGATAGGGTCTCGCTCTTGCTCAGGCTGGTTTTGAACTTCTGACCTTGAGCAGTCTACACACCTCGGCTTCCTAGAGTGCTAGGATTATAGGTGTGAGCCACCACGCCCGGCTGGTTTTGGTTTTATTTATGTATGGATTTATTTGAGGCTAGTCAAGTGAAGCAGTGGGAGCAGAGAGGGAACAATCCATTGCTTTTAGGATGAATGTTCTAATCCTTAACCTGGTCTGTAGGCCTGCGTGGTCTGACTCTGCCATCACGCTCTGTTCACCCCATGCACGTCTTGTCCTCTGTCCTCCAGCTGTATTTGCTTTTCCTCTTCATAGACATATCCTGCTCCACCCTGCTAGAGGGCCACTACATGTACTTTTCCATCTGTCCAAAACACTTTTCCCTCTCCCTCTTGAACAGACGTAATTACTTTTTATTTTGAGACAAGGTCTTGCTTTGTCACCCAGGCTTAAGGCTAAAGCAACCCTCCTACCTCAGCCTTCTGAGTAGCTAGGACTTACAGGCATGAAGTAGCTAGGACTTACAGGCCAGAAGCCACCACACACGGCTAATTTTTAATATATCTTTTTGTAGAGACAGGATCTCGCTGTTTTGCCCAGACTGGTCTCAAAGTTTTGGTCTCAAGCTATCCTCCTGTCTCAGCTTCCCAAAGTGCTGGGATTACAGATGAGCCATGATGCCTGGCCCATAATCACTCTTCAATCACTCTTGACCTACTCATCCTTCCTGACTTCCCTGATTACCATATCCCCATAATCTGTGCTTTCAGAGCACACTTATAATTTTATGTATGTTTGATTAATTTGTCTTCCTCACAAGATTGTGAACTTCACAATGGCAGGATATGCTGTATCCCTAGTGTCTAATATAGTGCCTTGGCACATAGTGGGTCTTCAGTAAATAGTAGTTGGTTGGTCGATTCTGATTTTATAGAGGAAAAATTAGCAATTTGAAATGTTCATTATATTATAATTTATTTATAAAGATTCCGTGGGTTCAACATTCATACTTTTTAAATTCTTATATAAAGAACAGTGTTTATGAGACTAAGCATCTGAACCCAAGAGAAACTACTGATGATATTCATCGGTAGTTGTGGACATTGGTGGTTTGTTTTGTTTTTTTGAGACAAAGTCTCACTCTGTTGCCCAGGCTAGAGTGCCATGGCGTCCCCTAGCTCACAGCAACCTCAAACTCCAGGGCTCAAGCAATCCTCCTGCCTCAGCCTCCCAAGTAGCTGGGACTACAGGCATGTGCCACCATGCCCGGCTAATTTTTTCTATATATTTTTCATTGTCCAGCTAATTTCTTTGTATTTTTTTAGTAGAGACGAGATCTTGCTCTTGCTCAAGCTGATTTCGAACTCCTGAGCTTAAACGATCCACCCACCTCAGCCTCCCAGAGTGCTAGTATTATAGGTGTTAGCTACCGCGCCTGGCCTGATGTTCTAAATAATTGGTTATAGACCATGAATTGCAGGAACAAGAATTGGCCTTCTCTACTCCTGTGCCCTCAACCTCTGCTCTTTCTGAACACATAGATTTATTATCATAATAGAAACATTGCTGCAAAGGCTATACAATAGCCTCTGTAAAATAAAAACATAGGTGGAAGATATCTAGGACCCTGCAAGGATCCTTGTGATATTCTGACCCACTGTTTTACACAAAGCCATGGAGTATTATGATTCTCACACTCTTTCCCCTTAGACTCTATTGAGATGAAATAGCCAAACAACACAAATTTTAAGTTACCATGTTCTGTTTAACTAAAACTGTATTACTAAATTTTGTAGAAAGGCTTTTCACATTGATGCCAGTCAGGCTCATTCAACTATCTGGGAGAAGCCGGAAACCCCTTTGGAATTAGATGAGAATTCTGGCTCTCACAGACTTCATCTGTTTCCCCTTCCCACGTGGCTGAAAAGCTGCTAGAAATATTTCTGCAGGCTGACTAAGGATCTGTTTTTCTCCACATTTTCAGTGTACTGAAGTGGGTGCTGTGCAATTTAAATGTCTTATTTCCAGATCATTTTATTTCCGTTATTCCTATTATGTCTTTGGCTCAACCCTAGAAATTTGTTTCACAATTAATCTTAGACTGATATTACATGTCGAAGGCTTTGTTATAAGAAGTTTATGTGCTTTCCTAAGCCATGATATACTCTGATGCTTTAAGACTTCAAGGCCAGAAAGGTAATTTTTATCTCTTCTTTCCCTTTCAGTGCTTCTGGATACATCCTGAGAATTCTGATGCATTCAAAGTGGTATCAGACCACCTCCAGTTAGGAGGAGTGCTCTGAGTTAGTTCAATTCTTCCAAATTATATCTAGGTCTTTAATTTTTCTTTTTCATCTAAAAAAAAATGATTGCAGGCTATCTTAGACATTGTTTATGGAAATAGACTCCCAGAAACACTGTATTCCTGACATATTTCTAGTCCCACAATTTCTGTAGTAGTTAGTTTTTGACTTAAGGGGTTGGTTACTTCTTAGCTCAACCTACTTAAAAAGATTAAATTACCTGCAGCAAAAACTCTTCTCATTTGCAAAGTTGACTTTTCACATGAATGATTTTTCCATTTCAAGCAATTGTTCCTGTTTCAAGGACTAAAATCCTACTTTAGGCCAGGCGCAGTGGCTCACACCTATAATCCTAGCACTCTGGGAGGCCAAGGTGGGCGGATTGCTCGAGGTCAGGAGTTCGAAACCAGCCTGAGCAAGAGCGAGACCCTGTCTCTACTATAAATAGAAAGAAATTCATTGTCCAACTAATATATATAGAAAAAATTAGCCAGGCATGGTGGCGCATGCCTGTAGTCCCCACTACTCGGGAGGCTGAGGCAGGAGGATGGCTTGAGCCCAGGAGTTTGAGCTAGGCTGACGCCATGGTACTCTAGCCTGAGCAACAAAGCAAGACTCTGTCTCAAAAAAATAAAATAAAATAAAATCCTACTTTATAAAAAGGTGAAGTGGGTTTCCTAAGGAAGTTCCTATTAACACCAAACTATCTAAATGGGATCATTTTTGTAGCTTATAAATGTTGTTGCTGCCTCTGTATCTATATAGAATAGCATGAAGTAGAGAATAGCCAACAGTGGAAAGATGGCCTCTACTATAAATTCTTCCTCCTTTTTCCTTTCTGTACAGTTTCTCTTGATTATACCTAATGGGCTTTGACCATTGTGTAGCATTTCATAAAACTTCCAAACTTATCTTTGGGCTCTTGAGGAAATGAGTGAATTCGTTCTATCACTCAGCATTGGTAATATGGTCATTTAGTAAACTTTGAAGCAGTAAAACGAAGACAATTGAAAATAATTCTGTCTTATCTGTACATTTTAAGTTATGGACCTGATTATGTATTGTTTATCCAACCTGGAGGCCTTTCTTTGCCCTTTCTCCAGCACTTTGTTAGTGAACGTAAATATGACGAAGATCTGGGACGAGTAGCCCGGTTCACCTGTGATGTGGAGACCCTAAAGAAGAGCATTGATTCCTTTGGACAAGGTGAGGCGGTGAGGGACTCTGGCAATAGAGGTGGTGATTATTAATTAGAGACTAACATGCTGATTGGCTTCTCTGAAAAGTAACTCTGAGGTACACATGAACTCCATGGATGCAGATACTTTGAATTCTGGGGCCTTTGCCAGATGAGCCTTTGCCAGCTCCCTAAATGTGGAGGGCTAGTTTTTCATGATTTGCTGCTGAATCGAGAGGTGTGTGACATATAGTGCAAAGAGCATAGGGCTCTGCAGTCAGACCTTGCCTCTACACTAACCTCTTGGAACCTCATTTTCCACCTTTTCAGAATAGAGAGAATAATGCCTGGCACATAATAGATCCTTAAATAATAGCATTTAACTTTGGGGGGGGTGCCTACAAGGTGAGTGTTATGGTGACTTACTGTTCAAGCCCTGAACTCAGCTTCTGTGTTCTTTGTATCTCAGTACAAAAGTGAAATGTTGAACCTAGGGCAATAATTATGAATTCATCATTAGCCCAGGCTTAAAGCCAAGAAAAAAATCGGGGGAGTAGTTTTAAACCATTGAATTCTGACAAAATTTGAATTGAACATATTATTTATTTAATAATACTTTCTCAGTTAGATTGGTATTTTGAATTTGGAGTTATTTTTGCAGAAAGAAATTTGACAAAGCCAGGCGCGGTGGCTCACGCCTGTAATCCTAGCACTCTGGGAGACCGAGGCAGGCGGATCATTTGAGCTCAAGAGTTCAAGACTAGCCTGAGAAAGAGCAAGACCCCGTCTCTACCAAAAATAGAAAAAATTAGCTGGGCATGGTGGCGCATGCCTGTAGTCCCAGCTACTCCGGAGGCTGAGGAAGGAGGATCACTTGAACCCAGGAGTTTGAGGTTGCTGAGAGCTAGGTTGATGCCATGGCACCCTAGCCTGGGCAACAGAGTGAGACTCTGTCTCAAAAAAAAATTTTTTTTTACAAGGTACATGTTTGTTGTAAAGATTAGTTCTATTCATATTTAAATGATCTTGATTATTTATACCTTGCATCATTCAAATTTTTAAAAAGGGACTTAGCAAAGATTTGATTTATTTACCTTTCTCTTTCTTTGCAAAGTCTGTACTTTAGAATGTTCCTTGCATAGGAAACTGAACATATGGCCCATACTATTGTTTTCAGGCTTAGTCAGCTGCTAGAGCCGTAGCCAGGAGTTTAGGTAGTAGGAAATGCCAAGAAGTCATTAGCTGGAGAGATGAGTAACTTCAGTCCTAAGCTGTTCTCCTGTCTCTAAGAATTCCTTTACAAAAAAGCAGTGAAGGCCGGGCGCTGTGGCTCACACCTGTAATCCTAGCTCTTGGGAGGCCGAGGCGGGCGGATTGCTCAAGGTCAGGAGTTCAAAACCAGCCTGAGCAAGAGCGAGACCCCGTCTCTACTATAAATAGAAAGAAATTAATTGGCCAACTGATATATATATAAAAAATTAGCCGGGCATGGTGGCACATGCCTGTAGTCCCAGCTACGTGGGAGGCTGAGGCAGGAGGATTGCTTGAGCCCAGGAGTTTGAGGTTGCTGTGAGCTAGGCTGACGCCACGGCACTCACTCTAGCCTGGATAACAAAGCGAGACTCTGTCTCAAAAAAAAAAAAAAAAAAAAAAAAAAAAGCAGTGAAGATTTGGAGGGGTGGAAAAAGAAGGCAGAAGAGAGATTTTTCTTCCTGTTATCCATTTTATAGATTTTTTAAATGACTACTTGAGTAGACAGTTCTTTATCTTAAATTGCTCATTGTGAAATTGATATATAGTAGAAACCTTACCCATTGTACTCTCCCATCATATGACCCACATACTCCTCATATTTCTCTTTCAGTGTCCCATCCAAAGAATAGCTATTCAACCAGATCCCGATGTAGCTTAGTTACATCTGTGTCCTTGAATAGCCCGAGTGATGCCTCTGCTGCTTCCTCTTCCACCTGTGCCTCTGCTCCCAGCCTTACAAGTGCTAACAAGAAAAACTCTACGCCAGGAGAGATGCCTGCAGCCACAGCACACTCCAGTGGCCGGCCCTACCAGCCGCACCGGGAGGTAACCTAGCTTCCACGCTGAGCATATTAGGAAGAAAAGCCACCAGACTGTCAGAGTTTAAATGTTGATAGCTCAGTGTTAGGTAATACACTGGGAATAAAGATACTACCTTACTCTCTTTATTCCCATTCCACACCTATTTTGAATCCCTCCAGCCCCAGTTAGTTCTTGAGAAAGCATTTGAGATGTATACTCCAAACTGTCAGCCAGTTTAGATTTCCTGGTGCCAAGAACTGCTGACTGTCTTATGTTGGCAGTGAACCTTGCCGTTGTAGGTAGTATTGCCTGGTAATTAGTCACACTGGGAGTTGTGCACCCATCTTAAGGTAGACAGATAACACTTGTGGTAGGTTCACCAGCAACTGAAATCAGCAACTCCCTAGAAGTTGGACTATATCAGGGTAAGAGAGTGAACCTGGGGATGGGGGATGAGGAGCAAACACTAGAAAGTTGAAGAATAACCATAGTTTCTTTTCCTTGTTTGGAGAAGAAACACAAAAGCATTCTGAGGCAATGCTGTCAGTAATTCTATAGGATTGGTAAAACACTGGAATTTTGGAGGACAAAAATAAAATCCCATGCCATAATCCATCATGCCATAAGCATAAGCTTTTTGGATTGTAATGTGAAAGATGTACTACATGTCACAGCAGCATGGTTTAATCTATAGTTTAAAATATATAGCAAAAAAAAATTAAAAAAAAATATATAGCAAAGCAGACCATAATGATACTTTATTTTATTATACTGATGTTTATTACCTTTACAAATGGCCTGTGATCTGCGAAGTTCAGATGTGTGATAAGATACTTGTCCAACTGAGGTCTTGTAACAACCCAAAGAATGTTCTTTCTTCCTTCTTAGCTTTCTTCTTGTGCCCAGCTTAAGAAAAATAAACTCCTCTTCAATAGAGAAGAGCCTAGGAGTGAAAGGCAGGGAAAGATGTATTAATTCTATAGTGAGTGTGTTGGATTGCTGACAGAATTCTGTGAGTCTTGAGAGATAACTGAGTCCCAAGCATGGGATACCACAGTTATGCTTTCAGAATACTCCTGTAAACAAAACTAGAACAAATGGGGCATGATAATGCCAGAGCACCTTGAACATTGTATTCTTTTCTCCTTAGGTATTGCCGGGGAACAGACGAGGAGGACAAGGCTACAGGCCACAAGGCCAAAAGTCCAGTGACCCTATGAACCAAGGGCGACATGACAATGTGGGTCGTTATAGAAATAGCTCGTGGTATTCATCTGGTTCTAGGTATCAGAGTGCTCCACCCCAGGCACCAGGAAATGCTAGTGAATGGGGCCTGGCTCACTCTGCAGGGACCAGCGGAACTGGAGTCAGCGGAGTCAGCGTGGAGCCTAGCCCACCCAAGCCTTCATTCAAAAAGGGGCTCCCCCAGCGCAAACCCAGGACCTCTCGGGCAGAAGCTGTGAACTCTTGAGGAAAATTCCAATTGGCCTCTCTCCTCTATCCCACACAGTTCAACCTGATAACTGGACTTTAGGAAACTTACAGTTAGATTTAATAACAGAAAGAAGTTTATGCATACAACTTTTCGTGCCATTCTAAATATTTTTGGTTTCTTGTCTCCTTATTTCCTCTTTACCACTTTTGGAGGGGAAGCTGTTTTTTTCCTTGATCTTTCCCAGTAATATGGATTGATTCAAATTGGGCATTTCCACTACGAATCAGAGGCAACTGTTGCCAGGTTTCCCAAGAGTAAGCAACATTCTTCCCAGTGCATAAGGCCTTCCAATTGCCCCCAGCTGTCAGGCTGTCTCAGGAGGAGGTGGGTCAGAGCTAGTCTGTGGCCTTGCCAATCTAAGCAGAAGCCACAGATGCCTGCCAGGTTTCCTCCAAACAGTAGTTCGACAAGGAGAGACAATGAGGGGATTATATACTGCACTGGATCAGCCAGAGAAGGGAAAATTGGTGTAAAGGAGAGAACACTAGGAAACATTTGAGAATCTGCCTGTATCCCAGACCATGCCTGAGATTTGAAACTCAAATCAGGGTTTTTCAATCTTCTGCTTGGCACCCATGGCTTACCCTGCAGTTTCTTCAAAATGCCCAAAGCCTTGTCTCCTATTACCTTAGATTACAAACCAGTCCAGGGAAGTCTGTGGGAAAGTACATTTAATTAAAGTTAAAAGGAAAAGTTAAAAAAAAAAAAAAAAAAGTGATTTCGTCTATTTGAGTGTTCGCGAGACTCTTTGTTTTTTTTTTTTTTGTTCTCTCCCTTTCCTGAATCCTGCTCTGATCCTGAACCAAATTTATAGCAATATAATTAGTGTTAATATAAGGTGTTACCCATCAAAAAATTGCTGCAATCTTTATAGTTGAATAAATAAAAACTGCATAAATGTTCCCACATTTGTTTCACAGCAGCAAGTGATTTCATTTCATTTTCTGTTTTTCTTTGGGCCTCATAGGGTGGAAATTACTCAGACAGCTTGTTCCTGGGCTTAAATGAGGTATCTGACTCCCAAGTCATTTGTCCACTGCTGCTTATAGCTTCAGGACCAAATTAAAATGTGAAAGCGAGGATGAGCAAATGCAGCTGTTCCTAGTGGGAAAGGATCTGTAGGATAAGGAATGGTGACTTTCCTAAGGAGAATTTACCAGTTAAGAAAAACCACAGCTGCCAACGGCTCTGCCAGGCAAGCAAAGGTTATATTGGCACTTTTCTCCCACACTCCTTGTGCCTTGACTGAGTAGTAAATGTAAACATATAATTGAGCTCCTGGATGTAGCAGGTGGCATGGATGCCAGACCCCTCCACCCTCCACCCGCCCCCAGCATCTATGATTTAATAACAGCAGAGCTTTTTCTCCAGCGTGTATTCTCCCCAAGTTGGAAGCCCAGACTGTTAGTGGCAGCAGTGCAGAACGTAGCTGCCTCAGGGCTTCCCCTGGCTCTTTGGCTGAAGCTGAGCTGCCAAGGTTCAGGTTGGTTGAACAGATTGAGAGAGAGAATATATGTGTGTGTCTTTCGGTAAAGAAAACATTAGTCAAGGATTACTGGGGAAGCCATTTTCCAAGGGGCCAATCACCCCAGTTTTAGGAATTTGTTCAATACCATCAGCTTGCTGGGTGTCAGGAAAAAGCCCTGCTTTTCTGATTAATTACTTACCTTACCTATACTTTATCAGAAATCCAGAGATTGAAACAACCTTGAAGAATTATGAGTTCTCTCCCTTTATCCAGGCAAGACCGTATTTAACCACCCAGACAGATGGGAAACCATGTTTGTCAAAACCACCTGAGGTTAAAATTAAAATCTCCTTATAGAAAAATATTTGAAGAATTTTTTTGGACATAAAAGTTTGAACATTATGAAGGTTTTTTTGTATTTTGTTTTTAATTACAAAAGTAGTATTTAAAATATCAAATAATATAGAAATGTGAAAAGAAAAAGAAAAAGCTTTCTATATTCCCATTCCACTCCTCAGGGATAATAACTGTTCATTATTTGGCATATATCCTTCTAGACCTTTTTCTTTCTTTTTTTATTTTTACAGATAGGTTTTCACTGTATTGCCCAAGCTGGAGTGCTGCAGTGGCTATTTAGAGGTGTGAGCATAGCTCACTGCAACCTTGAATTCCTGGGCTCAAGTGATCTATCCTCCTGCCTCAGCCTCCGAGTACACCACTGCTCCTGGCTTAGACCTTTTTTAAAGCATATATGTACATATACATCTGGGTATTCAGGTTTTTAAATGTTTGCTTTTTGTAAAAAATATCATACTATACATATTCTATAATTCATTTTTAATCTGTCTATACCATAATTCATTTAGGATCTCATGCTGTAGATATTCTCCTAAATTTGCCCATTTGACTTTGCTGCAGTGAAGAGAAGTTAGGTTTATCTTAAGTTTGAATTGTGTAGCCTATTCCTTACTCCTCACCATAATAACTCCGGACTTCGCAAAAGAGGGAAGGAAGTTTCCATACCCTGGGCAGCTACTATTGGTGCTCAAAGATGCCCTACCTAGCCATCATCTTTCCTTCCCTTTTCCATTTCTCCTTGCAGACAAATGCCTTGCCTTTCCCAGACTAGAGATAGGACTAGGACTTTAAATTGTTTAGCTCTGTCAGTATTTAAATTGTGAGAGGGAAAATTTAAGTTGGCATTACTTTATTATAAACATCGAATATTTCCTAAGCCCCTAATTTATGGCCATTTTTAAATTTTACTTTTTAAAAAAGTAATGCAGACTAATTTTTAAAAATACAAAGGATACATAGTGAAAATTTTAAAAGTCCCACCCTCCAGGAGAAATCACTGGCAAGTTTCTTATGTATCTTTCCAGAAATGTTGTAAACCCAAATGTGGAAATAAGTTTTTTCTTTCTTTTCCATAAATGGGATTCATACTATGCATACTCTTACAAAGCGTGCTTTTTTTCACTTGTCCTCACTTTTCATAACTAATTTGTTTTTGTTTTAAGAAAAATCATATGCAAAGAGTAAAAAAAAAATCTAAATATTTCAAAAGGGCATATGATGAAAATAAGCCTTTATACCTCGCTGAACTATCATCCCCTCCCCAGAGGCAACCACTGTTAAGTTTCTTGTGTATCGATACCTCTGGAGATTTTCTAGCTAGTACAAGTATATCATAAGAATGTATACCACTTAGACCTCATCCTGTGTAGGTATATATAAACATACCTTGTTCTTTCTGTGGCTGAACAGTATTCCATTGTATACACTTGCCATAATTAGTTTAACCAGTCCCTAATGAAAGTTTTCAGTTTTTTGCTATTACACGTATTGCTACAATGAGCATCCCATAATGCATGTATCATTCCTCACTTGTGAGAGTATCTCTGTAGGATAAATCCCTAGGAGTGGAATTGCTAGGTCATACTGTTATTGATAAAGTATTCTTTATTATTGATAAAGTTGCACAATTTGCACTTTCCAGTGTTTGGAAATGCTTTGTATAGTCACTGAGTTGGAGGCTAAGGAGAGAGAAAGGTAACTAAAACACAGTCCCTGACTTCAAGTGGCTGATAAACTAGTTTTGGTAACTGAGACATATGGATAAATAATACAAGGGAATAGTGTTGTCTGAAGGCACCACTGTCTTCTTGAGTAAGGTGGAGGATGGGCCAAAAAGGCTGGGTCCTTTGCTTAAGCTAGAACTATACCAGCAGGTGATCAGGCAATTGTGCAGTGGTGTTTAGAGATGGTAACCTATTTCAGAATCCCAAATGAGGGTATAATCTTGTGAGCATGAACATATTTATAGAGGGAAGAGGATAAACTGTTTGAGGTTAGGAGTGGCCTGAAAAATCCAAGATACATGGTCATCAACATGTGAACTAACCGATTCTCTTAGAGAAGTCAATAATGACTTCCTGTCCCTGGAAATCCTGCCACATGACTTAACAAAACTGGGTTTTCATTTTTGTTTTTTTCTTTAGAGACAGGTTCTTGCTTTTGATCAAGCTGGTCTCAAACTCCTGAGCCCAAGCAATCCTCCTGCCTCAGCCCTCCAGAGTGTTAGGATTATAGGTGTAAGCCCAAAATGAGGTCTCGTCTTGCCTAATTTATAGGGTTCATCCCACCTTATTGTCCCACCTGGTGACAACTGTGTCCTTATAGCAGCACAATTCTTGGAAGAAACAGGTGTCCAAAACAATACATGTTGGGAGGCCACCAACTAATACAAAGAATTATTTTATCACAATTTTAACCAGTGAGTTCAGAGTACTGGCCCATGATCCTGGTAGCCAGAACAACATATTACAAAGTCAATCAAACTTCTGGTTGTTGTAGTCACTTGGGCACATTCTTTCTTTCCTTCAAACATTGAGGCACCTCCTGTGTGCTAGGCACTCTGCTCAGCTCTGAGGCAAACATAAATGATTCCAGCTCTTTCCTCAACCACTTTGCAGGTAAAGGAAGTAGAGCTCTTCCTTAAACCCTTGAAAGCCTTGCCTGGTGGCCAGGCAGTGTGGTAGAGTTGAAAGACTGGGTAGGGCCAGGCACGATGGTCCACACCTATAGTTCCAGCTCCTTGGGGGCTGAGGCAGGAAGATCACTTGAGCCCAGGACTTCGAGGCTGCAGTGAGCTATGATCACGCACCTGCACTCCAGCCTAGGTGACAGAGCAAGACCCTGTCTCTAAGAAAAGAAAAGAAAAACCCTGGCTAGCTGTGTGACTGACTGACCTTGGACAAGTAACAATATATTTGAACCTCTTCCTGAAATGTAAAGCGGAGACAATGGCAACTACTTTAAGAGGTATCTAGCTAGGTGCTACAGAATAGGTATCTAACCTAACCTATGACAGGTTGAACGTTCACTCACCATAATTCCTTTGCTTTTCTGTCTCCTGCTCTGTTAAAAACTGAAAGACTTCCCCATCTCCAGCTATACAGACACTATTAATAAAAAAAAGATTTTTTTTTTTTGAGGCAGGGTCTCTGGTGCTCAGGCTAGAATGCAGTGGCATAATCATAGCTCACTGTATAATCATAGCTCCTCAAACTCCTGGGCTCAAGGGATCCTCCCGCCTCAGCTTCTCAAGTAGCTGGGACTACAGGTGTGCACCACC